CGTGCTCATGTTGTACATAATTTGTAGTGGTGAGACAAAACTGAGCACGCGTCCTCGAGAGACGTACGGTTGTTCCCACAGGACCACCGATCACCGATGGCGATCTCTCGTTTTACGTTGTATGCCGGTGTTGTTGTCTTAAAAGCCAGAAGGGTAAACATTTACATACACGAAAAACAAGCACAAACATCCGTCAGAACCTGAACGCACGTTACAGGGTAGACAGCTAAGACGCCACCCGACATGACAGAAATCACAAAAATAAAAAACACAAGACCAACACCACAAGAACAACAACAAAAAGCAAAAGCACCAGAACAAACAAAGCAACGCCTCAAGAACAACAAAAAAAAACAGGCTAGACTAAGACAGCGCTCCCGTCAACAAAGAGCGAAGGAAACCCTTCGCGCACAACACACACACACACACACACACACATACGCACGCACCTTGACGCGCACTTGCATCAGGCGCGCGCCGGGGGTCTTGGGGGTGGCGCGGTGGAATCGGTTCGGGGGGATAAGAACCACTTCCCCCGGCTGGAGGCGCACCCTCACCCAGCAGTCGGCCCAGTCGCGGACGTCCACGAAGGCCTCCCCGCCCCACACGCAGTACATGCCTTCCAAGCAGTCGAAACGGGCCTCACCACCCTGAGGGTGTCGGGAGGTGGGGGGGTACTCGGATGTGGTGCGTGTCTTAGCGATGAGACCAATGACCACGCGTCCTCGAGAGGAAGGAGCAGGGGGGNGGGGGGGGGGAGTAGTGGACACAAATCCCTGTCGAGACTACTCCCCTAGGTAAAACACATACGAATAGCCACACGCGGTGGGAATTAATATCGTTACGGGGTCAATTTTGCAAAAAACTACTAGGATGACGTTAGATACCACACTTGGTGACAAGTTTGTTACTGTAGAAGCCAAGATGTTACCATCGGGGGGATCATGTGTCGTAAGCGGTCAGCACTCGGCACGGGAAGAGAGGGGTGGTTTTGAGGGGGTAAGATGGATGGAACATCGCTCTCATCATCATCTGCTTCGAGCGGGGGGACAAGCGCGCGGCTCTGCCAGAGCTACATAGCAGGAAGGCGGGCCGTGCCATGACCGAAGCAAGGCTGCAATAAACATCCAACGAATATCACCTATCCCCCCCCCTATCTCAAATAACAACCCCGCCCCGGAACACCAACAAGACCAGCACAGCAACAGCACCAACACCTGGTCCTCCATGTCGTCATGGGTAAAGGCAGTGGCCGGCAGATCCCCGATCTGAATCGCACCCTTGCCCATGGCGTCGCCGCCGGACTTGGAGTGCATGGCCAGCCGGGCCTGGGCCAGCTTCCACAGCTGGATGTTCACATCGGGGCTACCGTTCTCCTGCAGCAACAGCGGCAGTGGTTTGGGGGAGGGGGGGCGGGGCGTACTGACGTTATAGCTGCCGTAAGTGTTAGATCATTGACCACGCGTCCTCGAGACCAGGGGGATGCTCATGTTGTGCATGCCTCATTTTTTTTGGGGGGGTACCCATGTTGTGCATGTCCTATGTAGTCTAAATACCCAAGGCAACAAACCGATCGAATCACCATACACGGACGGAAAAAAATAACATGGCCAGAGCGTCAGTTGGACCGGAACGGTTTCAAAACTACTGAAGACAACTACAACAAAACAAACAACATGCAGGATAAATAGCATAGCAGCCCCCACCCCCGCGCGTGCTAGCACCACAACTCACACCTCACATCTCTCACGAACACTGCCTCTCTGCCTCTGTCTGTCTGTCTGTCTGTCTGCCTGTCTGTCTCTTTCACTCACCAGGTGCACTGCGTATTCCACGATTCCCAGCTCTGCCAAGAGTGTCGGAGAGGCCTCATTTTCGGGGGCATCAAGGTACCACGCCTTGCATTGACGAGGCCTTTGGGTCGAGCTCTCCCCTCCCCCCGCCGCCGCACCCGCCCCCGACACTCTGATACCCGCCTGGCGATGAAAAGGAGGTTGTACCCATACCCACACAGGCACCACCGGGGGGATCGTACATGTCAACCACGGTAGGGACGTTCCAAAATCAACTCTGCAACCCGGGGGGGGGGG